CTGGGAGGGTTGTCTTGATTGTCTCGTGGGAGGCCTGGCAGTCCCTTCCTTGATCTCAGAGTCCCTGCCCCATGGATCACCACCCTCATCTGAGCCCTACATTTGCCCCTAGGTGCTGGCCTTCCTTCCCTCAGGAGGCTTCCCTCCCTTGACTGATACAGAAACCTGTTATGGAAACAGTCAGAGGTCAGACCACCTTCCCTTTGATGTGCTTTCTTAGAGATCAGAGGGGGATGAAGGAGTTTTGAAACTGGGTATACACCATAAGCAGATTTTGTTAAATGGAACAGTCACATGCATCAGACATAGAAAACTAATGCACCTGAATCATCTTGAAGGGACTGTGCTTCTGTGTGCTATGGAGGTGCCAGCAACTGACTTCTTACAGCATCATCAGGGAATGATTGTTTTCTACACAAAATACTGTCAACTTAAGGAGTCCAAATTTCTACACTGGTGTAAGTCTTCAAAGCTTACAAACAGCAACAGCATCACCACAAGCAAAGGTGGGTGCCAGGCTGCCAGGTACCACAGATAAAGCAAGAAGGAGCACACTGGGGGTGGGGTGTGTGTGTGTGTGTTTCACACCCTTTTCATTCACTACTAGGGCAGGGGACCCTCTGTAGGAAATCGGGAGGCAGCAAGATGGAACAGGGAAACTAAAACACTCTCCTTGGAGAAAACACCCAAGCATATTCAGACTAGAGTGAAGAAGATTGCCAAGTATGTGGGTCAACCTGTGTATCCACATGAAATGGATTTCTAGGCCAGCATCAGAGCTAGCAAGCTTCAGACACCGAACCTGTATAGTGGTACCTGCCAGGCACACAAGGGCATGAAGAGAATCAGCTGTGAAGAACAGAGTGCAAGCTCTACTTCTTGCCTGTCTGGCAGCTGGGCTCTGTCTACCCTGGCCATGCTAATACTAGGACTCACACTGCACTGCCGCAGCCTTGGCTCTGGAACTTGGTGCCACCTTGCTCCAAAACTGATTGTGCCTGTGCCCTTCCCTCCAAGCAAATGGCTATTCTGCCTAGGAAATACATATGAGTTTTTCCCACATGTAAGCATGCAAACCCACAAGGAGATCTGGCTCCCGGTTCTGGTGGTTACTCTAATAGTAGAGCTGTAGGATTTAGGGTCAGTCCAACTACAGGAACCCTTTGTGAAAGTAACTGCACTGTGTGACCAAGGAGTTGAAGAGCTGGCTTGGTCGGTAAGAGCACTTGCTGCTCTTATGGAAGATCTGGGTTCAACTTCCAGCACCCACATGATAACTCCAGCTCCAGGGGATGCAATGCCCTCTTCTGACCTCCAAAGGCAGCAAGATTGAACAATATGCACAGACATACATGCAGGTCAAATATTCATGTACAGAAAACAAAGAAATCATAAAAAGAATTCCCGCAAGTTGTCCTCTGACAGCTATATGGACATGAGGCCTGAACCCTGCCCCTAATGCAATAAAAATGTAAAAAGTCATTTAAAAAAAAATGACCACAAAACTCATCATTTGCACAATCAATGCTAATTAAAATGTTCCAGCCATGTAGTGATAGCACATGTCTTTAATCTTAGCGCTCAGGAGACAGAGGCAGGCAGGGAGATCACTGAGGTTGAGGCCAGCCTAGTTTACACAGCAAGTTCAGGACATTCAGAGCTACACAGAGATACCCTGTCTTCAAAAAAACCAAACCAAACCAAAATTAAAAAAATAAAAATAAGTGTTTCAAAAGCAAAACCTTAACAATTGCAGAGTGAAAAGGCAATGTTTTGAAACCAGATATCACCCCTAATTGTCATACATGAAACTGTGTGGGGAAACCTGAGAAGAGCCATCTGATACATCCGGACATGATGTTCAGGGTCTTGATGACCCTCGACACCAGCACACCCTTGACACTGATTCAGAATTCCACAAAGTCAAACACCAAGTAGGTTCTGCACTCTCACCTGGAATATGGAAGGCCTGGGTTCCATCTTCACCATGACACAGGCCTGTGCACACACATGACCAACAAGTGGGGTTGGATGTGGTAGCCCAGGCCTTTAATCCCAGCCTTCAGGAGGCAGAAGCAGGTGGATCTCTGTGAGTTCCAGGACTGTAAGGGCTGTGTAGAGACCCTGCCTGGAAAAAACAAAAACAAAAACAACAAAAACAACAACAACACCAACAAAAAAAACACCTCCTAATGGAATATTGGTCTTTTGAAAGCAAGTCTAGGAATTCTACTCATCAAGATGCAAGAACTGCTGGCTGGAGCTGCTGGCAACAACCTATAAAAAAACCCTCAGTCTTAGTAGTGAGTGTTCTAAGTAGTGTCCAACTTAGAAAATATTTGAACAGAAATTTCAGCAAAGATATGAGAATTTTATGACCAACAAGAGGGGCTGTGGAGTAACTGCGAGAGTCTAATCAGTTGCTCTGAAAGCCTGAGGACCTGAGTTTGAATCCTCAGGAACTACATAAAAACAAATCCTAGAACACCATGGGAGCCTCTAACCCCAGCTATGGATGGGGGACACAAAAGGATCCTGAGACTTTGTAGTTTAGTGAAACCTTGTCACATAAGGAAGATATGTGATATTTCACTGTGGTATCCACATTTGCACACATGGTCGTACAACATGACATAGTGATACCTGTACCATCCACACAGACACACACACACACACACACACACACACACACACACAAACACACAGACACACCCCCCCACACGACAAGCAGTGGGTACACGGCAATGCCCACAATCAACTGATGTGGAGATGACAATTGAAAGCACAGGAAAAGCCAGAGCAACTGCCCTGGAGGACCAGTGTGCCTGGGGCAAAGGTGAAATGCTGCAGCAGTTTGAATAATCACTGGGTAAATTTTGGTGATGCCAAACAAAAGGGTCCCCTGTGAGCCAGTTTCTACGAGGAATGGAAACATAACACAGGCAGAGCACCACGAATCCAAAACCTGAAGTCTGAAATTTGAGAACACTGGATTTGAAATCTAGGCAATCACCTGTGTCTCACTACTGGAAAGGGCTGCTCCACAGAAGTGGCTTCACTCAGGACATGGAGATGAGATCCTCCAAGAATCCTCAACCAGTGAGAGGACACCACCCTGCCCGACCCCTTCTGAGACCATAACAACATAGATACTCAAGACTCCATCCAGATCTCAGGGCCACCTGCTGGAGCCTGGATGAGACTCAGCTGCAGGGTTCTGTTGGCACACCAGAACCAAAATGTCTGACATGGACACGGGGGTAGGGGGAGCACTGTGGTCAAACTTCAAGGAAGAATCCTTTGGTCCTTGTCTGTACTTCTGGTGCTCTGCTGCACCCTTTGATCACAGCAGGACCCCACCATGGCCCTCCTCCTGAATCCAGCAGTCACCAGCAGGTCTCAGGACTCCTTCCTCCTTAAATGGTCACTCCAAGCTGACACAGGCTGGCCTGCTGCTGGGTCCTTAGGCCCTCAGTGTCTCTGAGAACCCCGGGTCTTGCCCCTCACTGCAAAGGAGCAGCTGCTGTCTTCCTTGCCTCTTCAGCCATGGCATCCCCCCTGGAGCAGCCTGGGTATCACTGGGTTTGTGGTGTGCCATGTGGCTTTCCACCCAGGGCTGGGGATGTCTGCATGCTTGGCTTGTGTCTGCAGCTGTACATGGAGGCACCATCTGACTGCACTGGCCAGGATGGCCTTACACCCTTGGTCATGAGATTCTTCTGCCTCCCAAGTGCTTGAATGATAGGTGTTAACCACCACCCTAGTTAGAAAATAGGTTCTATCAAAGACAGGGATCTGGGGTCCTGGATACTTCCAAGAGTGGGGACACCAACGTTCGAAGTGTCCAGTCATCGTGGACTGTGTCTAACAGTGGAGCAGTCCATGAAGACACTGTCACCCTGAGGACATGGTTGTGTTCACAAAACCAGGCAGTGTGCAATCATATCTGAGGTTACAAACGAGAATGCCAGGCTGGGTCCACTCAAAGGTATGGTGCTCACTTGGCATAGTGAGGACCCAAGCTCCATCTCTGCCATAAAAGTAACAAATATCTACTGCGGATGTAGCTCAGCCATAGGGTGATTGACTAGCATATGTGAAGACATGGGTTCCATCCCCAGGATTAAAACCCAACACCCTCAAAACCCCACCAGGTCCAGGGATCATGATCAACACTGAGGGCCTGTGTTCAATCCTGAGGACCCCTATGGAGCAAGGAGAGAAACAACTCCCCCAAGTTGTCCATGACATTCCTCCCTCCCCCAGCCCCCCCTCCAACAAAGTATAATTTAAAAAAAACAAGGAGGGCAGTAGCTAGTGCACACTTTTCACCTCAGCACGTGGGAGGCAGAGGCAGATGGATGTCTAAACTGAGGCCAGCCTGGTCTAAGAGTTCCAGCATACCCAGCCTGCACAGAAACCTTGTCTCAAAACAACACTCAACACTTGGGAGGCAGAGCCAGGCAGATCTCTGTGAGTTCCAGGCCAGCTTGGGCTACCAAGTGAGTTCCAGGAAAGGCGCAAAGATACACAGAGAAACCCTGTCTCCAAAAACAACAACAAAAAACCAGAAAGATTTGTGTCTGAAGAGCTCTAGCTGCTCTTGCAGGGTTTCTGAGTTTCTTTCCCAGCACCCACACTGGAAGGCTCACCAGGTTTCCCAGGGGAACTTGGATATGTGGCCCTGTGCTGCTGGTGCCCTTCCACAGTGGGGACTGAAGCTTCCTAAGAGGAATGCGGGTCTGACCTCCAGACCTACACCTTCAAGTGGCCTGCTGTGTTTTTGTTTGCAGCTCACAAAGGAAAGCTCAGAGCTCCGGACAGGGGGTGGTGTGAGTGGGCGTGGCTTCACAAATCCCTCAATCCTGGGCGGGCTTCTAATCCCTCTGAAAGCAAGCTAAATGTTTGAGTCCCAAACTGGGTAGAGGGCTATGGTTACCACAGCCCCCCTCCTCTCGCAGCTCTATGGATCTCACAGAAGGGAATACACTCCCTTTCAGGGCGCATCTGCACGGGCCCTCAGATGGGGCGTGCCCTTAAATGCCCCGCCTCTCCGTCGGACTAGCGTCCTGCCCATCAGCCCCTGGAAAACCCTGAAGTAAGGTGGCCGGTCGATATTCGTCTGGGAAGAGCAGCACAGAGCAGGTGTTCGAAAGTGGAGCATGGTCAAGATGGCAGAGAAGGGAGTCGGACTTCTAGGTGAGCAAGCCAGGGAATCCCATGATGTTGGTGCTGGGGACCCATGATGGGAGTGCCGGACCCGGCCTGTGAAACGCTGGGACGCGTTCAGGGCGGGAAGGGCAGGGGGTGGGAGGGAAGC